CCTACAGAAGAGGAGACGATGAAGGCAAGATGGGGAAGGGGTATAGGTTTGGAAGCTCTGAGGAAAGAAAAACGAGAGATCAAAACGAGGCGGACCGAATGGGTGGTTGGGAGAATGAGGGGAAACTGAGGGGCACAGAGGGGGATTGAGGAGCAGCGAGGAGCAATGAGGGCCAGGTGACCAGAAAAAGGGGGGCAGTATAATAATTGCATTGCGGTTACATGATGTCTTGCAATGCAATGCGATGTGACCTGTAAGTAACCCCACCTGATATGTGTGTGTGTGCCATCCGTCAACAGCCCATCCTTGTTCCGATTTTGAGGCACCTCAAATGTCGTGCTATGCGACGTGACGTGTAAGTAACCCCACCTGATGTGTGCCATCCGTCAACAGCCCATCCTTGTTCCGGCTGAAACAATCGGCCCGTGTGATGTGACCGTGTGATCGTGTGAGTCGGAAAGTGTTAAACATGAGCGAGCATGTGAGAACATGAGTTGCGATGCGACATCACCTGATGTGATGTGACATGAAAGGTGCTCACCCACCCCCAATCCCAACCCCAACCACAACCACAGCCCAAACCTTTCTTCACTTTATTCCCTTCCTGACCAAAGCCATTCAGACCTTGTTCTGGCTGAAAAATCGGCCTGGGTGAGCCCGTAGGTGTTGAGGATGAGCGGGCATGTGAGGCCGTAGGGTGACAAGAACGTGGGAACCCGAATTTCAACCCGCCGCACTGCATACATGGGGTAAGCATACATGGGGTGGGCTTGCACGGTGTAAGCATGGATGGGGTAAGCATGGATGGGGTATGCATGAGGCAACCATGTCATTGCAAGCAGCAAACAAGGGACGTTTGAGTTTACTTTGTGGCAAGAGCAAGAAATACAAGATACTCAAACGGATGCCATGGCAAGCATCGGTAATGAGCCTTGAGACGAGTCGGAAGTCAATGTTATCAGATGAGACATGATGAAAAGTGCTATCATATACGCCATGATGACAAGCAAGCACGTAGTAAGTGAGCAAGCAAGGGCAAGTGTTACATACAGAGGTAACAGCTGGCAGTGCCTTTGGTGGGAAAGATCAAGGGGAAGAAGGGCGAGGGGCAGAGGCAGGAGTAGGTGCCGTCTATGCCGTCAATGCACACCCCCGGGGCACATGGGTTGCGGGGGAACTGGCGACACATGAAGGAATCTGGTGAGGGCATGAGGAGAAGGGGGAGTTGGGAAAATCTGAGTGGAAAGAGAGCAACAGGAGTCGGTGCCGTCTATGCCATCAATGCACACCCCCGGGGCACATGGGTTGCGGAGGAACTGGCGACACATGAAGGAATCTGGAGAGGGGACGGGACGGGGGGGAAAGAGGACAGGTGGAAAGGCAGGGGAAGGCGAAAGGAGGGGGAAGAAGAAAAAGAAGTGTTGCAGGAGCAGTAATATATGCACTGGAGTGCACACTCTTAACTAAAATACGACAAGCCATCATATTAGCAAAGAAATGATTATCTAAGCTTAATTAATTCCAAAAGAACTAAATAGGGAGATAAAGGTGAAGGTACTCCTTGAGGCAACAAGAAACTAAAAAGGGTAGCTTGAGTGATAAATTCTCAAAACTGAAGCGTATGCACTTTTGAGTCGACTCAAAAATTGAAGCGTATGCACTCTGGATTTTCTTAAATGTCATCCACAAACAAACCAGAAGGGCACCTACCACCCTTCACCACTTGCGTACCACACTCCACCTCTTGCCGACCGCACTCCACCTCTCGCCGACCGCACTCCACTTTTTGCCTACTGTACTCCACCACTCGCCTTCCGCACTCCACCCTTACCTACCGCACTCCACCTCTCACCGACCGCACTCCACGTCTCACCAGGGAAGCAGGAGGGCAGGCCAGAGAGGTGAGAGGGTTGGAAGGAGGGGAGATTGAAGGGGCACTTGCAGGAGGGCACGAGGATAGACGGGTCCCACGGGGCAGGTGCCTTGGTGCATGCACCCATGCCACAGGGGAGCACTGGAGAGGCCTTGCAGGGGTCGGTGTCTGTGCACGGGGAGGGAGGGAAGGATGCGATTGGGGAGTGGGAAAGAGGAGGGTATGTGTGACCGGAGAAGAGAAGAGTCCCTGTAAGGGAAGAGTCCCTGTGGGTGCTTTGAAAATTGAAGGTTTGAAGTATGCGTTGTGCTGCAGAGGACACTCGGGGGTGCACGGGGGTGCAAGGGGGTGCATCGGGGTGCGTGGGGTTACAAGAAACAAGAATCCTCTTTCTCCCCTTCTTCGTTATCTCTGAAGGCGGAAAGTACAGGAGGAGGAGGACGACGTGGAAAGGCACGTGGTTTGCTATGCCTCCTCCCTTCCCTCCCCCACCATTCCCACCCCCTCTTCCCCCCTCTCTTCTCCCCTTCCCCCTACCTGCGAATCGGAACCTGCGATCCTGTGCGAACCGAAATGGTTCAAGGTCAGTTCCTGTGTAACTCTACATTTCCCCCCCTTTCCCCTCTCTCCCCGTTCCCTACCCCCCCGGGGGCCCCCGGTCCCACTCTCCCCTCCCCTTTTCTGTGAATCGGAAGGTCCAGGAGGAGAGGGTGACAAGGGCAGGGAACGAGGCATGCTACCCCTTTTCTCTTTCCCTCCCCCCCATCTCGCCCACGCCTCCCACCTACCTGTGAATCGGAAGGTCCAGGAGGAGAGGGCGACGGGGGAAGGCAGGCGGCCAGGGGGGGAGGGAGAGCAGCGCTGGTGAACCCAACAAACAGATGCCCGAAGGATGGCGACCATAGGTCCGTTGAACTGCTTTCACTGCTGCTGCCGCTGCTACTGCTGCCACTTGTGGTCGTGGTGGTGCTGCTGCTGCTGCTGCTGTTGCTACCACCGCTGCCACTGCTGCTGTTGCTGCTGCCGCTGCCGCCACTGCTTCCGCTGGAGTCAGTAACCCCAGTGAGAGCAGCACACAGGTCAATGGTGACCTTCAATCGAGGCTTTAGAAGAGCAGGGCGGTACAATCTCATCACCATCTCCTTGCTGCTCCCGTTATAGTCAACCCTCATCTGCCAAACCTCTTCAGACTCCATAACATCCAACACCTTCTTAGTGAAAACCGACGTCATGTTGAAATCGGTGTTTACGCCGATATGTATATCATTTACATCGCCCATTTCCGGGTTTGCTACAGTATCCCATTCCACTGCTACACTCCGCGCGCCGTCCGGCCAGCTGCCATTAGCGAGCCGCGAGGATGGGTCCCGGCCGTACCCCATATAAGCCCCGCCCAGGCCCAGGGTCGCATGTGTGCTTATAACGAACGCGAGCCCATGAGTAGCGGATTTATTCATGGAAAAGCCGTATGTGAAGGTGAACGAGCGAGCCATGCAGATTGGGGGTTCGGTTGCTGTGGGCTGGGGAGGTGAGGAGGAGGAAGGAGAGGAGCGGAGTGAGCTTTTGCGCGCACGGGGAAAGGGAGGAGGAGGGAAGGGAGGCGAGGAGGAGGAGTAGAGGAGGGGGAGACGGCGAGGGAAGTAGAGGGCTCCGGGAGAGGGTTCGTTTGATTGGCTGGTTGATGCCACGTCAGCAGCGACAGAGAGATCGGCGGCGAAGAAACGCTTCCTGGTGCTGCCACGTGTCAGCAGGGGAGTGGCCGGCGTGATGTAGGGGAAGGAGAACGAGTCTGCCGCCCAAAACGGAAGCGGATCCTCCGCTGCTGGGGTGAAAGAGGGGGAGGGCAAGGGAGGAGGCGGGGGAAGGAGAAGGTTGGGTGAAAAGTGTGAAGTGAACCAATTCATGCTAGGTGATGGGTTGAAGGGGCATTAAAAAGACGCCAGTCAGGTGTCTGATCCCTCCATTTGCCTGCCTGCCTGCCTGCTTGCCTGCCTGCCTTCCCAGAGTGTTGCAGGTCTACTACAACAGGCCTGGGGATGACACTTAAAGGCCACACCCAGAATTACCGAGTCGGGCGTGAAACTGTCATCACTTTCACGCGATTGGTCCAAATTTTTGAGTGGGTTTTCTATGCGATTGGTTTTAGATTTCCCCACCGAACCTCCTCCTGGGGTTTCCCGAACCTGCAAATTCGACGTTGACTTCGTTGTGTAATTCGGGGTTTGGCCTTTAAACTCAACTCACTATTCCAGGAGTCAAAATCACCATTCCACAAGTCGACTCAGAACGAGGTGACTTTTGAGTCGACTCAGAACGAGGTGACTTTTGAGTCGACTCAAAATGAGGTGACTTTTGAGTCGACTCAAAACGAGGTGACTTTTGAGTCGACTCAGAACGAGGTGACTTTTGAGTCGACTCAGAACGAGGTGACTTTTGAGTCGACTCAGAACGAGGTGACTTTTGAGTGGACTGACAACGAGGTGACTTTTGAGTCGACTCAGAATGAGGTGACTTTCGAGTCGACTCAGAACGAGGTGACTTTTGAGTTGACTCAGAATGAGGTGACTTTTGAGTCGACTCAGAACGAGGTGACTTTTGAGTCGACTCAGGGTGAGGTGACTTTTGAGTCAGCTCAGAACGAGGTGACTTTTGAGTGGACTGACAACGAGGTGAACTTTGAGTCAACTCATGACGAAGTGACTCTTGAGTCGACTAGAACAAGGTGACTTTTGAGTCGACTCAAAACGAAGTGAATTCGAGTCGACTAATAACGAGGTGACTTCTGAGTCAACTAAGAACGAGGTGACTTTTGAGTTGGCTCAGACCGAGGTGAATTTTGAGTCAGCGCAGAACAGGGTGAATTTTGAGTCGACTCAAAACGAGACTCAGAACGAGGTGGAGTAGATTATGGTGTTAACTTTTTAAGTCAACTCATAACTCAGCTAGCCACCCCCGGAGTCAAACTTCCATCTCAGAGCATCATGTGGGTACTAAAACACTGCCGATGCTAATACAGATCATAATATACACATCCCTAAAAGTCACTAACCCCGGGTGGGCCAATTGGAAGAGTTGGGAAACACGAACTGATCCTATAGAACAATAACAACAAGGATTGCACTCGAACTCACCCTCCCCCACTTGGAAGGTCCACCCCAGCACCTCGTGCGCCTGGGCCTGCTCTGCCCCCTTGCCTGTGGCCGCTGTGAATCCCACAAACAGTGGCGGGGGGGGCGCTGCTGCCTGCGGGTCGTTCCCCCCCAGCCACTCGCAGGTGTCCACGAATGTGGTCAGCACGGCCGAGCGCGGGAGAGGGGGGGCGGAGGGGGAAGAGGAGGAGGAAGAGGAGGAGGAAGAGGAGGAGGAAGAGGAGGAGGAAGAGGAGGAGGAAGAGGAGGAGGAAGAGGAGGTGCGAGATGACCGAGGGAAGCCAGGGAAACCAGGAAAACGAGGGGAGGAGCGAGAGGGGGATGGGGAACGGGAGGAGGAAGGGGCGGGGGAGAGCCAGACAGTGAGTTGGGAGGAGGAGGCGTTGTATTGGATGGTGGCGAGGAGGGTCTGACCAGCGTTGAGGGAGGGAATGCCGACGGGGTGCACGGGGGCAGAGGCGAGAGAGAGCATGGTGCCGTGCAGGTTCACCCCCACGTGGTGGTCGGGGCGGTCCAAGAACTCAGGAGAAGAGGACGTGTCGAATTCCACTGCCAGGCTCCGCTGCTGCTGTGGATAGCGCGTGTGGGAGGGGGGATAGCGCGTGTGGGAGGGGGGAGTAGCAGCCGATAAGCAAAACAGCAAAGTGGCAGAGTAGGAGTGAGAAATACAAGATAAACAAAGTAAGTCAGGCGGATGAGACGCGATAAAGAAGCCCGCAGACAAGAGACGGACAGCGAGAGATGACACGTAGCTGAGATGACATGACACGTACCTGAGGTGACACGTACGTACCTCAGAAGACACGTAACTGAGATGACACGTACCTGAGATGACATGTACCTGAGATGACACGTCATTGGAATTATCGGCACCGGTAGTGCTCCCAGGTGGAAGCAGCAGGCGGCCGTAGCCCAGGGAGGGCCCCGGCAGGCCAAGTGTGGGAGACGGCAGCATCACAAACGCCAAGCCCTCGCCGCCCAGCCCGGCGGCGTTGGGGGAGGAGATGCGGAAGGCGAAGGAGGTGGAGAAGGAGAAGGGGCGGCAGGGGGAGGCGGGCGTGGCAGGGGCGAGCAGGGCGAAGGGGGCGGGGTGCAGCGCGAGAGAGGCAGAGTTAAGGTCGGAGAGCGTGGTGAGGGAGAGGGAGGCGCGGTTGCGGCGAGCTGAGCCGGCTGTGAGGAGCGGATGGGCGCTGGAGAGCGGCCAGTGGGAGAAGGAGTTGAGAGGAGAGGGGTCGGCTGCAGGGCAGTTGGGGGGGGGGGGGGGGGGAGGGGGGGGGGATGGGGGGGAGGAGGGATGGATCGATCATTCACAGCGCAACGACCTGTGACACACCAGTTACCCTGTCAACCATTTCTGCCTCTCTGACTCACTGTGGGTGGGCACGACAGACGCGCGATCGATAGCCGTGCTCCCCGCTTCTAGCGCCACTCCCTCTCTTGCCATCCCCTGTCCGCACCTACCTCCCCCTATCACTCACCTGGGACTCCATCCCTCCTTGCACCCCCCCGACACTGTCCCTCTCCCACTCACTGCTAGTGAGCATGACAGACGCAAGGTCGATAGCAGTGCTCCCATCTTCCGACGCCACTTCCTCGCTCTTCACCCCCACCTTCGCTCCCGCTCCTGCTCCCCTTTCCGTACTCGCAACAACAGTGAACGCGGCTGCTCCAAGTCTAGCTCCCACAACCTCCGCTGCTGCTGCTGCTGCCGCTGCTGCCGCATTGTGGGATACAGACTCCGCACCAGCTGCTGCTACCCCACCAGCGGCTTGCACTGCGGGTGCTGCTCCTGCTGCTCTCGTCGGCCCAGAGTTCCGCACCTGCCGTGGCCCCCAGGCCCGCCTGTGTATGGAGAGGGGTAGTCTGGGGAAGCGGAGCAGCGTTCGCAGGGAAGATCCAGAGCGGGAAAGGGCGGCGTGTAACGTTGAATGGATCAGGAGGCCAAGGGAGGTGATGGTGAAGCCACTGCTCCCGCTGCTGTCAGCACCGCTGCTGGTGGTGGCGGTGGTGGTGGTGGTGGTGGTGGTGGTGGCGGTGGTGGTGCTGCTCCTACTATTTCCAACGATGCTGCTGCTGTCGATACTACTGCTTCCGCCGGCACTGCTTGTCGCTGCGATGCTGGCAGTGCTGCTGCTGCTGCTACTGCCTTGCAGGCCTCGAATCACCAAGTGCAGCGCCACTCCCCCGGGAGGCACTACCAACGAGGAAGGGGAAGAGGAGGAAGAAGAGGCGGAGGAAGAGGAGGAGGAATCTGGGGGGTCAGGGAGGGGGAAGAGGAGGGGTCCCACTTGGAACCAAGGCAAGGCGCCGGACAAACTCGCGCTGCTCCCCCCACACGGCACACCCACCCGCCACTCCCCCCACACCTGCTCCGCCGCTCCCCCCCCTGCCCCTCCCCCTGCCACGGCGGCGGCGGAGGTGTTGAGCGGAACTGCCAGCAGCAGCACCGTCAACAGCCGCTCCGCCTCCCCTTCCGCGCCCCCTCCACCCTTCGCGCACAGGCTGGCGCGCGCAAAGAACGAGAGGGACAGCTGGCGCGGGGACTGCTGCTGCTGCGCCTGCTGCGAGTCGTTGCTGGTCGGCGCCGCGGGTTTGAGTTCGCACAGCGCTTGCAATACAGCTGGGCCGCCAAACGCGCTACTGCTATTGCGATCACCGGAACTGTCGTTGCTAATAGGCGACGCGGAAAAGGCGGAAGTCAGTCGTACAAAGCGGGACCCATCAGCTGCCAATAAGGTGTCCGTGACTCCCGTGACCCCGTCCTTTATTGACACGTCAGCAGGCGACGCCGTCGCTCCTCCTGCTGTCGCGACCGCTTCCGCCAGTGTCGCACCCGCCGGCGCGAGCAATGCTCCGCGGTTTCCGCCGCCAGATGCGGTGGCCAAAAACTCGTCGCTTAAGATTGTTTCCCCAGGTTCCAACGCGCGCCACGGGAATAAGTACGGCCATGGATCGCACGACGCGTTCAGCTTCTTGCGACGCCAGCCTATATCGAGACAGCTTGTATCGAAGCTTGGGTTCGAGAGAAGGTTTGACGATTCATCTGGGGGACAAAGAAGAGGGTGTAAAACGGAAGAGAATTGGAAATTTATAGGGCAATTGAGCGGATAGCAACAAAACCTTCAAAGATGCAGCTTTTGCCAATTTTTGGCGCGTTGGATGCAAATTCTACGGGATTAACGAAGGAAACAAAAAAAGGTGAATCTTAAACGAAATTATGCGCACCGGCAAGCGACCGAAAAGGGGCTAACACAGAAAGGAGGAATAGGGGGTACAAATGGCTGGAGGCAAATGGAACGAGTAAAATGTGAAACGCCTGGAGAAGGACGAATGATAATTATACGGGGACCCGTCTCTACTAAAGGCGTGCTTGCGACTCGACTACTTAGTATGATAGCGCCGAAATTGTGAATGGTGGTGTTACCGAGAACGGGAGAAGCGGAGCCTCTTACTTGGATTCGTTAGGTTATGGCAGTCGACGAGGCCGTCAGCGAAACGAGAGAAGGCTACGAAATAGAGGAGAAACGTAACCCGTCGGAAGATCGTGACACAGAGAAGACACGTGGGTCCTGGGTGAACCCGCAATTTGCGGCGAAATGTGCGGCAGTAATTCATGTGGTCCGACACGTTAACAGGAGAGATTATCTCCCAACAGACTACTTTCTCCGGATCGATTACTCTCTTCGATAGGCCGCCCTCTGAACAACTATGCGTCGGACGTTTCGGCGAATCCCGGACTGACACTTGCCATGAGTCAGAGTCAGCCTGTCGCGGCGAGCATATTAAGACTGTCCGGTGAGAATCTATGGTGATCGGCTACAACAGCTAGTATTAATCGCAGCAACGATCACTGGATTCATGGCACGAACCGCCTCCCAAATCATCGCTTTGAGTACAATCCTACAAGTTGCAAGAGGGCGAAGGGATGACTGATGATGGGTTCGCTGTGATAACGATGATTGGTATTTCTTCTTGTCTGTCAGTCCCTTACCTTGGACGGATGATTGCCATGTTCCGAAAGAGTCTTTTAATGCGGTTCAATGTGGCTTTGTACGATCTAAAGTGGTCTATTTGAAACTTCGAATGATTGGGTAGGGTACCTCGCGAATACGTACTTCTGGGACATGCTCGGAAGGGTTACTGCTCAACCAGAACGTTGGTGTGCACCGACATTCATGGGGGGGGAGGGACGTGTCGCAGCCAGACAAGTTGACGTGATCGACTCTCCACCGCGCTGCAACCCTGCTAACCTTTACTGAAGCCTAACGAACGTGTCCAAACACTTTTCTTGGATGACATGGTGGAGGAGCAATCGAACCTGATTGAGGTCCAATATGCACCGTTTCCTCTATTGGAATTTAGGATGGTGTGAAAAAGCGCAAGTGTGCGTCTGCAGTACACGTGGTGCTCAACCTCTGCCCGTAATTTTTTGTCTCACGGGTAACTCTAAGAGTTTTTTTTACAAACCTTATTTGCTGACCGCGATGTTGGCGAGTGACTATGCACGTTTCAAATCCAGAACGTCATAAAAGTACGTAGTACTCGAATGATAATCAAGTGTAAGTACCTCCCCGAGATTTTCGGCACAGTCCTGCTTTCGCGTTTAGGGGTCATCATTCGGTTTACTGATTAACGGAAATTATACGGTCAGTCACAATAAAGATCGTTTTATCACATTTGGTCACCTGGGTATCACGGACGGTCAAAGTACATACACCTTGCCACGTATTGCTATGACGTTTGGTCACTCAATGAAACGATCGCTAAAAAGTTGAAACTCTGAAAATTACTGTAAAGATTCTGGGAAAGTTAGCTCAAACGCAATTTTTTCCGTATTGGAAAAAACATTGTTACCACCGAAATATACTCGCGAGAAAGGTCGTGAACTTCTTGCTGTCGTCTTCCTAAAATCCATGCACAGCCTCACCCCGTTTGACAGTTCGCGTCTCCCAATTTTGATTGTTTGTTGCCTCGCACATAATTCTCCCGTAGTATTAAAAAAAAAAACCCCTATAGGGTGGGATGCTTTTCGGGAGGCATCAACCCTAAACACATGCGACAAGGTGTTTAGGGTTGATGCTTCTCGAAGAAAATCACATCTGAATGAGTTTTAGTTTTTTGTTTGGGAATAACAAAAGAAAACCTTGAAGTTTAACCCGTCTAAATTGATTTTTTTAGTAACATTATGCAACAATCTAATAGTGAACACTGCGCCACGAGTAAAATCTCCTAGAATCTCTACAATAATTTTTGGAATTTCAACTTCTTAGCAATCAGTTCATTGTGTGACCAAATGTGATAGCAATACGGGGCAAGTTGTGATCTCCGTGATAGTGTTGTGATCACCCGCGATAGATACGAACTGTACCGTGACTGTTTGTCATACCCATATGATCAAATATTACAAAACCCGACTTTACTGTGCCTGCCTACATAATTTCCCACAAATCAGGATCAAATGGTCTGGACAGTTTCTACACCATTCGATTCAGATTCTGTAGATGCGGGCAAGTGCCAAGGGCAAGTGCGAAGGTGACCGACCGACCAGAAAAAAAAAAAATCCAACCAAAGTGACGCATTTTGGCGAGTGACTGGCTTCTAAAAATGAGCGCACATGACCGCAACTCAGTCGCACGCATACAAAGATGCGTCCAAAGCAAAAACAATGTGAAAGATGCACAGCATAGCCATTTTTTCTTTAGGGTTTTTAGTTTATCGAGAAATATTACCGGACAAACTTTGCTCCGAAGATACTGTTAGGATCCAGAAGTGGCCTAGTCAGTAGAAAGAGGCACTTCCGATAGATGAGGTCCTGGGATCGAACCCACCACCGTGCAGGCGTGTTCTGCTAGACCCCATGTAGGGGTTAGCACGTGCTCATCTAGGAATGGATACCCCTGTAACTGGTTACGACCAGAAAAAAAAACTTTCACTGTTAGCGCTGCTGGGGAATACAACTGATGCTCGTTTGAGTCCTCCGTACTTGGGTTGTGCTCTGGGCTTATAAGTGATTTGTGCATTTCGATCAGTTCGCCGAGTTTCGCCAGGGTCCCGAGGTGCTTTAAAAAAATACAGGTTGTAACACGTTTGTTTTTTTCCCGCACACTGTTGGCTGGCAAGCCTTGTTGTGTGTTTGTAGACCTGGTTACCCCCACATTTTCACTTCATCATTGCATGCGATTACAACACGGTTTCCGTCCTGTCACAAACACACTCTCCCAACCATCTCGCCAGTAAACAAGACACATCTGTACCCACGCAACGTCCAATTCAATGTTGCATTCGCATGAAAATGTGCACGAGTCTTGCACATTTACTCAGGAGGAGTCAAACACCCCTCAAAGGGGTCTCAAGCCCCTCACAGCCGCATCCACTCGGCGGCATCCAGGTAGCCGCCCATCACGGCGGGCGCTCCTGCGTCAATTAGCTGCTGGCGGCGGGCCGCCTGCAGAGCCAGCGTGACCCACTCTGGGGTCGGCTCCGTCGTCCACGCCGGCAGCACACGCCCACGGCGACGAGGGTTCTCAGCCTGCGGGGTGGCGCCAAGGGGCATGGCGGGAGGAGGCGTGCTTTTGAGATTAAGAGCAGAGCTGGCGCGCTCCATCCGAGCCCTGATGATGGGGTTGCAAATGTCGAACAGTGCGCATAGGTCACGCGGGGTAATGTCGGTGGCCCTCGCGTAGCCGATAAGCATCTCGCCCGCGGCGCGTGCGTAGCGCCGTGCCTCGCGGCACGCCGGATTGCCATCGTCGTAGACGGCTTGCATGCTGGCCGGCGCTTCCCACATCTCGGCAGCCGACGCAGACGGCGGCTCAGTCGCCAGCGGGTCCTGGCCCGGTTCGGCGCAAGTCCCCAGTCAGCATCGCGGCCGATCCAAGGCCGAGGCGACTGATGAGAATCCCCACGTCGCCCACGGCCTCCTCGAGCTCAATGTTGCCAGCGCCGTTGCCGCCGTTGCCCACGTGCTCCAGTTCCATTGCCCACGCATTTGGGAGGCACTCGGTGCGCCACCAGCACCACTGAATTGTGTGACGCTCGATGTTCATCCAAGCGTCGCACAGCCATGCCAGTACGTTGCGCAGGTTCGGCTTGTACCGAGCCATTGCCGCCATCGCGCCATCCGCCGACCACAGCGCGGTGAAAGTGCTTAGCCAATGCGCACGGTACCGTGCCTTCGCCGTCGCAATAATCCCCTGATCGAGGGGTTGGGTGAATGCCGTGGTGTTCGGCGGCAGGTACACGATGCGGACGGTGCTGAGGTTCTGCGTGCGGAAGCCAAAGAGGTCCTCCGTCTCGGCCTCTTTTGACTTGAGCACGTGAGAGGAGGCGTTGTCCATCTAAATGACAATGTGCCTGTCTTCGGCGTACATGGCAGCATTAAGCTGCTCGATGATGTGTGTGAAAACCTGCATGCAAGCACACGGGGAAAGGGGGAGGCACAAAGTATTAGATAATTGGACACATACACCGAAGAACCAGAAAAGCTAAGAACCGAAGACGCCATAAAGGTGTAAGAGTTATAATGTACATGACATGTACTACATGGGGCTTTAGCGTGGGTTTAGCTCACCGGGATGGTCATCCAGCCCTTAGCCGTGTTGCGCCAATAGCAAACCTCGTCAAGGTCGTAGTCGGGGCGGAAATCGTGGGGACACTTGGCTTTCGAGATGACCAACGGGCGGAACGAGTGCGATCCATCGACGTTGACCAGGAAGCCGACGGTAAGGCGATCCTTGGGCACCTTCCGTCCCGCCACTCGCCCATTGCCGTAAGTCTTGCGGGGCAGCACTGAGATATAGAGCGCGGTTTCATCAAAATTGTAGACATCTCGGGCCCGAACCGAGCGGTGCATGAGCAGCTGCGGAAGCTTCTCGCGTGTCGTGCGCACGGCGGCCATGTCCTGGTCCGCCGCCTCGCCGACGGCGCTCAGACAGCGGACACCCTGGCGGCGCAATGCACGGCGCACCCGACCGATTGAGCAGCGGAACGTCGCCGGCAGGACCATGCCACGAGCCATGGTCACGACATGGTCGTGAATGGTTGCGAGCGTGCCCGCGTTGGCAATCCAGCGAGCCATAGCTCGCTCCAGTTCCGAGTGTGCGCCTCCCCGGACGCGGACGATGTTGTTGTTCGTCGTAGTGGCGGCCCATCGTTCGGAGCCCTTCAAAACGCGGCCGATCGTCGATCGGTCAAGCCTGATTCCGAAGCGGGTGAAACACCGGCGCGCAAGATCGACGTGGTGCATCAGGGGGTGGGCGACATGGTGGGCACAGATAGCCCTCTTGATATGCACGGCGAGCTGCGAGCGGCGGTATAAACGAGGCATGGCTGGCCTCGAAGGTAAGGAGAGACTGGATGTCAAGTGAGTTTTCTAGCCTTTTTATGAAGTTTGGATGTGATGCAGCCTGAGTATTGTTAAAATCCCAGCTAAGAATGATTGAAAGGAGAGGGGTTTCACTAGCAGCAGTTGGGGTACATATAGCAAACCCTAACTGGGTTGTACTCGCTATAGAGCACCCCACTACAGGCTAGACAATAATAACATTCTGACACACCCCCATAGCCAAAGTGGGGTGTAATCAGTACAATGAGCAGGCATAGCAATAGTTCACAATTATAAACAAAGCGATGCCCGCCGCCGCCTCCGCCGCCCCCGCCCGCACCCTGGCCGCTCCTCTTGCCACCCCTACCCCGAGACCGCGAAGAAGTCGTAACAGCAGCTGCGGTCACGTCAGTAGCAGCAGTGGCGAGGGAGGCAGTAAAGGTGGGCAGCTGAGGGACAGTGCACCCGTGAAACAGGGGAGGGGGCACAGCACCAGAGGCGGAGGCTACGGAGCGGAGGTTGCTCTCGACGTCCTTGAGAGCAGACTCAAGGACGCCGATAGTGAGCTCGCTAGGGTGCTTCAGAAGAAGCGCGTCACGAACCGAAGCAAGGCGGTCAGGGAGGCTAGTGGCGATGAAATAGATAGTGATCGCCATGGGGGGAGGCAGCAGTGCAAGCTCGGCGTTAGTGCAAGCAGCGTGAAAGCTAGCGTCAAGTGTGCGCAGGTGGGCAATAAGGTCAGCAGAGCGCTCAAACGAGGCGAGGTCTGGTAACAGGAAAGGGAGAAACAGGCGGCCAAGAGAGACAGTGGAAGGAGTAGGATAGCGTGCTTTAATCGCAGTCAGAAACTCCTGAGCCGTGCGAACCTGTGCGAAATGAGTCTCCTCGGACTCGAGGAGTGTCAAGATCAAGGTAGCCAAGGTTTAGGAGAAACCTAGGCTAGGATCGAGAGTAGCGAGAGTATCGAGAGGAAAGAGGATTGCATTATGGAAGAAAATACACATATAGTTCAAGGGAAGGTGAGCACAGTGGTGCACAACCAACAGGTTTATAACAATGAATACACTTAAACTACTTCAAGCAGGATATCACATTGACACACCCCCTTAGTCTGCTTGCGGTAGAAACTAGTGCAGTCAGCACCCCCTGAAAGTGCAGCAAAAGACGGCAGAGGGTGGTAAGTGAGGGAAACGAGGCAAGCGAAGGAGAGAGGAGAGGAGAACGAAGGGGAAATTAAGAGAGAGAGGATGAGGAGAGGAGGTGGGGGGTGGCCGCGGCGAGACGGGACAGAACGAAAGGCCGCGACGTCCCCGCTTACGAACCCCCTTATACAAAGGGGGGGGGAGGAGTGAGGGAAAACGAGAGAAGGTGGGGGGCCATGCATGAGTGTACCAACGCCATGCCTGCGATCCCTCTTAATAACCTTCTAAACTCAACTCAACCACCCCCCTTTAACCTCACCCCTAAACCTGCCGTCCCCTCAAGTCTCACCCTCACCCTCCTTTCACCTTCACACACCCGCCACCCACTCATCACCCCCTCGCCACCCCCTCATCTCCCCTCCCCATGGCGAATGCCGTGGAATGGAGGGAGGGGGGCGGCGGAAGCTGCTGGTCTTGGCGGGTGGCGCTGGTGCCTGCGCTGGCGGGTCACACCCGCCACCCCCACATCTCCCCTCCCCCCCACGGCAGAAGCCGCGGAAGGGAAGGTGGGAGGGGGGGGCGGCATCAGCTGCCGTTGGCGCTGGCGCTGGCGGCGGCGTCTGGCGCGGGCGCTGGCGCAGGCGGCGGCGTCTGGCGCTGGCGGCGGCATCTGGCGCTGGCGCTGTCCGCGGGCTACTGGCGTGCGCGCTGACGCTAGCGTCCGCGCTGGCGCACTTCGCGGACGCCCGCACTGGAGCCTGGCAAGGCGCTGGGCGGGCTGCGCAACGAACGGGCAGGGCACGGGGGGGGGGGGGGGGGGGGGGGGGGGGGGGGGGGGGGGGGGGGGGAAGGGAGGAACAGACGGGCGCACGGGCGCAATGGGGAGGGCGCAACGGGCGCGACGAGCAGATCTTCGGAGCGTGAAACGGGGGCCTGCAGAGAGCGAAACGCGGGACCCGCGGGGGTCGTCCTCGGGAGATTTGGGGGACCCGCGGGGCGCATTACGGGCTGCGCGACGGATGGGCCCATGATCCTTAAAAATTATATGTCCTTACTGTCAACGGGAGTTGTGTGTTGGCCCCGTCCTCGCTTGGGCGGAGCCGACTTCGTGGTCGGGTGTAGGGGTGCAGCCGACCTGCAGCAGTGGGCGAGCTGGTCGACGAGGAAGTCGACCTGCACGGGTGCCACTGCATGGGCACCGACTTCAGGATGGCACGGACTTCAGGAAGGTCGGCCTGGGAAGTCGACCTGCGGAGGGCGTCGACTTGGTGACGCCAACTTGGGGTAGCCGACTTGGGTGGTCGGCTGACAGGCCTTCTGGTCGACCTGGTTGGTCGACCAAGCCTTCTGGTCGACCTGGTACGTCGACCAGGCCTTCTGGTCGACTTGGTGGTTGGTCGACCAGGCGTGAAGTCGACCTGGTGGTCGACCGAACATAGTGGTCGACCTGGGGAGGTCGACTGGAGGTGGCCGTCGACTTGGGAGGTCGACCGGCACATACAGGAGCAGCTGGTCGACGTGGTTGCCCGGTCGACCAGGTTACCTGGGTGACGAGGTTCTGCGGAGGAGTGCGACGGTCGCCCAGGCGAAGTTGGAGAGTCCGACCCCGGTGGTGGTATCCCGAGGTCGACGTGGCTGATCAGATGCAGTTGTCAGCGCCAGGTTGACTTGGTGTGTGCGCTGTGCAGGTGACGAGGCACTGCATGCCAATCATCTGCGAGCACCTGCGAAGCGGGTGCGCTGCTGTCCTGCGGGAGCAACGTTGGCACACCATCAACCTGCGACGTTGGCACGCCGTCGACTTGCAGCGTTGGCAAGCCGCGACTCTGCACTGCTGGAGCGCGGTCGACCGTGCTGCGCTGGCAGTAGACTTGCTTGCATGCTAGCTCTGATGTAGTCTAGTCTTGCCAACTTCATTGTACCATTGTTGTCAACCTTTCCTAGTGAAACTCTTGCCAATTCTCCCTGTGAACTAGCAAGTAGTGTGAGCACTTGGAAACGACTAAGGAACAAGTGAACGCAGAGATCACACGAGCACCCGTGCCTAGCCCGTAGTCTAGCTCCCGTTGTAGTAGTTATCTCCGCATGGTGCGGTGAGCGTGGACGGCACCCGACTTACCTTTCAGTCTAGTCGACTTAGTTGCACCTTACCTAAGTTGTTCGTAGGCCGGCAGCTGTGCAGTAGTCACTATGGTAGGCGCCGTAGGTGACACGGGGGTGGTGGACACCCTAGAGGCATGGCTGTAGAGCGCGAGGAGACGCCGTGAGGTGAAGGAGTTCGGCGACCTCCCCTGGGCGGTCGTCGACCTCCCCTGGGCGGTCGTCGAGGCTGGCATCCGCTCCGTGTGGGCGACGGAGCACCCTCCTTCTCGGCCTGCATCTCCTCGACCGGTGAACACCGAGGGCGGCGTCGACGTGGGCGTCAACGCCGGTGGTGACCAAGTCGGCAGCAGTGCGGGAGGCACGTCGTCGAGGCAGCGTGGTGTGATTCACGCCGATGAAGTCGGCGGCGTTCAGGCGCGAGGAATGCGGTCGTCGGCGGCTGCAGGCTCCTCGCAGGGTGACGTCGGAGGTCGACGAAGTGGATCTTTGCCGATGTCGGCGACCCAGGTGACAGCAGGCGGGATTGCACCGAGCTACGGCTACTTCAAGTTTACGCCGGACAGGATCTCGGTCACCCCCCTGCTGGTCGGTCGACCCGACATTCTCACATGGAAGGAAGCCATCGAGCCCCAACTGGAGCTGCCCAGGCTGATCAACTTTGCTCGCGGTACCGTGGCGACGCCGGAGGACCCCGACTTGCGTGCGGAGTTTCGCGCCGTGCAGCTGCTGACCTTCACGGTCATTTCGCGGTGCTGCTCGCCGGGCGTGCAAATCGCCCTGAAGTCGTGCAGGGAGCACCTCGACGCCGGCCACCGGGCGTGGCACTTCATCGAGTCGACCTACCAAGTCACCGACGACTTGTTCATCGCCCAGCTGGAGGGGCAGCTGACGCACCTGCGTATGGGCGACGAGGAGACGGCGACCGACTACTGCAACCGGGCCCGGCGAATTCTTGCCACCATCAGGATGGCTGGCGCGCAGTACTCGACGGCGTCGTACGTCACCCACGTCATGCAGGGACTCTCGAGCAGCTACAACCTTCTCAAGCGGCTGTCAATGGCGCCGAGCACTAGGACGACGCTCAACGAGGACAACTTGACCTCGTACATCTTGCAGGACGAGGCGATGCAGGAGGCAGAGCGGTCACAGGAGCTCTTGGCACAGGCGAACCTCGTCGCCCCGGCGAAGCAAGGAGGTCGACCGGGGCAGCGCGGACAGTCTGGCAGCGGTGGTAGCAGTGGCTGGAAGCCGGCCAAGGAAGTCGACAAGAAGAAGTCGACCAAGGACAGTGGTCGAGGAGGAGGAGGTCGACGTCGGGAGTGCTGGCTGTGCGGCGACCCCAACCACCTCTCCTTCGAGTGCCCCGACCGTAGTGACTCCGACGACGACGACGCCAAGGGAGGCCGCGGGAGGTCTGGCAGTCGTCGTCCTCGTCGAGAAGGGAACAAGCCGCGCAAGGAGAAGCAGTCGACCAAGTCGACCTCGGCGAAGGACGCCGACTCCTCTGCTGGCGGAAAGGCGCGGGATGACAAGACGGCGTCGTGCTCACTGGTCGGCGTCGTGGAGCCGACCGTCTCGCTGGCGCCGGAGGCCGGAGAGGACTTCCAGGCGGTGGCGGCAGCTGTGCAGGCGAACCCGGCGGTGGTCCTGCTCGACAGCGGTTGCTCCCACCACCTG